GTGTAAATGCAGTGAGAAATGAGAGATTTTCAAGGTCAAGTATGAATAGCAGAAGCAAGAGCCAGGCTGGAAATTCGAATGGTAACAGATCAAGTAGGCCAAAGGTCAGTGCTAGTTATCAAGGTACATGTAAGTTTTTTCGCTGCGGGAAAGAAGGAAGATGTGTATAAGAGACAGTATATATATATATATACATATTATGATAAATGAAGATGACTGCTGCCCTCACTCAGCTTTGGCGTCTGCCATTTATGTGGAGGTATGGTTGTAATATTTGCATTAATATTTCACATTATAATTCATCAAAAAAGAAAAATAAACGTCGATTATGGGCGGCATGCGGTGGTATGCGGTGGCATGCGGTGGTATGCGGTGGTATGCGCCTTTTAGTGAGACCCAGTTTTAATAGATTTTTAAAGGAGTTTTAATAGATTTTTAATATAGTTTTAATAGATTTTTAATAGACTTTTTATAGTGGGCTTCTATAGTTAATTCTATATAACTTTTTCTATAGATTTTCTAAACAATTATGCTATAGACATTCTATAGTTTTATTTTTTGATAGAATTCTATAGAATTTTTTTGTATGGGAAGTACATAAAAGTTGATCATTTTTACATTCAATAAAAGTGGCGGATTCAAGAGGGCCTGACCCCACCTTCACCCCACCCATTTTTTTCAAAAATTTCTTCCAAAAAATGTAAAATTATATTCCAACTTAAGCATGCCATGTTCGGCCATCTACAGGTGCCTTATCATAAATGTTCTTACCTCAGCCCCAATCGTGGTAGGGCTGAGGTGGTCTGCTCCCCCATCTGGGGATAGACGTACCCTCCCTGGGAATTCCTGGATCCGCCACTGATAAATATACTGTATTCTACTTGAACACGAAACAAAACGACTTGGAATAAGTAAGTGGCCCTTTAAATCAACGATAGTCCACTACTGTCCCGTATTTTGCTAATGACCAATCGCTTGCGAGCCGATGCGTCTTTAGGGTTTGGCACTTTTTAAACAAAATATAAATCAGAATACGTTGTTGGCGTCCAGTGAGCAAGTTCCTGAATATTATGATCCGCAATTCGATTCGTAGTAACATAATCTACTTTCTAATGCATTATTATGGAATAAATACTGACACTAATAACCTAACTGGTGTAGAATAAACTAAATACTTGTACAACTTATATATAGAGGTATCATGTAGCGTTTATAATAAAATTGTTTAACATCCCCTCTACCTACTTTCTTTTCTTCTTATCTTATTCTTATATTATTTTTTGGGGTAGTGGGGTGGGATTATAATTTTCATGACTAGGCCTACTATTAGGTGGCATAAAATACGACATAGAATACCACACAGACAAACACTGGTCTGTAAAAAGTAGCAATAAAACTAAGCATAAAGTGGTTTTAAAAGTAGTGCTTGAGAAAAGGGTTACCACACTTGACGCAGTGGCGTAGAAAAATATTTTTCATTGGGGGGGGTGATGATTGGCGTGTTGTCCAGTGTCGTAACAGGCGCGGGGAGGGGAAGGGGAACCTCCCCCTCCCCTTACGGTTTTTACCGGGCTGACCAAGCCGACGTACCGGGCTGGGTAATAAGAGAAAAGAAAGAGGGGAGAGGGAGGGAAAGAAAAAGAAGAGGAAAAGAAAAGGAAAGAAAAAGGGAAGAGAAAAATAAAGACAAGAATAAAAAGGAAGATATCAT